GCTTTGGAGGTCTCTCCTTGGCCTGGAGGTCTCTCCTTGGCCTGGAGGTCTCTCCTTGGCCTGGAGTGCCAAGCCTCTCTCTGCTGCATCCTCTTCTGGTTTTCCTCTGTGCGCATGCCCTTGTCATTCAGATGTGTGCCTCAGAGGACTGTTTGGAAGTACCGGAGACTTGGAGGAGGGTGGGAGCTTGGACATTTTCTCGCTCACACCGTGCTCAGTGCCTGCGTCTCGCCTATGAGCAGTGGGTATACACAGGAACATGCAAACACAGTCTTGCTGGAGGCTGCTCTAACCAGCTCCACTGGTGCCTTCCTTAACATCTGTGCCTGCTGCTTCTTTCTGGGACAGAAACAAAGTTTCTCCTTCTGACTAACTCCATGTTGGCCACCACTCGTAACAGAGCTTTTGGCTACTTCATTGGGTTCTTATATCTACCTTCCTACACCACCCTAATCCCTTCCAACCCCCCAACACTCGGTAGGCAATGAAGGAACTTAGAGGGAAAATGGGGGGTAGATCTTTTTACGCCACTTCTTGCTGATTAGGACTGATGAGTGCCCTGGGCAAATTTGACCTTCTCCAGCAGGATACCCAATTTCTTCTACTCGTCTCTTTGTGCATGACAACCTGACAAACCGCAACAAACCATAGCAGCAGGGAGAGCAGCAACCAGCTCTTCAGAGCAATTCCAGCCTTGGGGCTCCAGCATTTATAAAAGTCTCCAGGATTTCAAACATAAACTTTCCTCCACTGGCAAATTCATACCCTCCTGGGGCACAACAGAAATCACGGTCAGCTGCTGTGTGCCATCTGAAGCAGCCCTGCCTCACACACCCAGGGGTAAAACAAAAACCTATCCACATAACATAGCTGGGTTTTCAAAGACACCAATGTTCTCATTCCACCCTCCCCAGGCGAAGACAGTTTTATTTCCCATGGAAGGACTCAGCTTCTTACAGGTGCTTTGGTGGTGGTCTTGGGGAGGGACCCACAGTCTAGATCAGCTGGGGATATTTTTCTGGGGAGTGGGTTCTCAAATGTCCAATGAAAAGCATAGACAGCACAGAACCTGGCTTGGGATCTCCTTTGCTCCCGGGCTTCCGTTGTGTTTTCAATGGGAGACTTCACAGATTCTTTAATCAAATAATTAAATCGGAGCCTACAGGGTCTCTCTCTGAAGGCTAGCTTGGAACTATGCAAATCAGTTTGTTCTCAAACTCATGACCATCCTACCTTAGCCTTCCAATACTGTCATTACAGACATGAACACTACAGCAACCAAATGAAAATTTTTTCCAAATTTTACTTTCTTATTATTATTAATGTGTGTATGGATAGTTCACACTCATGAGCTTTGGTGTGTGTGTTGGTCACGTGACAACTTTTAGGCATCGATTTTTCTCCTTCCCAGGTGTGGGAGATGGGGATGGAACTTTGATCTCCAGGTTTACGCAGTAAAGTGCTTCTTTCTACTGAGCCATCTCCCGGGCCCCAGATGAGGAACCTCTTAATGGCCGTGTCCTGGAGCACATGCCCGGCCCAGCCCACACAGTGAAGTGTGCTCAGCCATCACCTCCTTCCACAACCCTGATCCTCTCCTCTGGAAGTGAGGCCCGTGAGAGCTGCGCTGACATTATGGGAAGTGTTGCTTTCTGAGGAGCAGCGGGGACCAGGAGCTGGGAACTAGCCACGGAAGAAGCTGGGAAGCAGCCGCCCTGGACCGAGTGAGCTAGCTGTTCAGTTTGTCTGGGATGGAGGAGACTTGGAGTGTCGGCCTGCGTCAGGCCGAGGAGGAGCAGGCAGCAGCTGTCCTGTGGGAGCGGCTTCTGGAGCAGTGGGGTGTGCTGTCGGATGGCGGGAGCTAGCCGAGCGCCCATTTGTCTCTCTTCTGATCTCCTCTTTGGCCAACCGTGTTGGAAGAATGGAACCAGAGCGCAGTGCCCAGCGTGAGGAGGGCGGGAGCTGCCCCGAGGTAGAATGGAGACAAGGGGGCACAACCAGAGAAGGGGAAAGACGGGCCAACCCTGCGCGTGGGTGCCCGGGAGGCACTGGGGCACACATCAGCCCTTGTGCTGATGATAATACTGGTTCCCACTAGATGGGGAAATTCTGCTTCTCTTGAGAGGGTCCTCCCCGTGCCTTCCATGTTGCCAGCACGCAAGCTGCTTGGCGGCAGCAATGCAAGTCACCGTTGCCAGCTGTTCCAACCCATGCTTTTGCTGGCAGCGCCCCGATGCTCTCGTCTCTGCTGGCTCAGGAGGCCTCTGGCAGGTGGGAGTCTCCCCCTGGGCAGCTGGCCGGGAGGAAGCAGCAGGCTGCAGCTCTTCCTGGCTCTGTAGCTCCCTCCCTGCACTTCCTCCGTGATATCTGTGGGAGGCCACAGGTCTGGCTCAAGCTTAAGCACTCACTGCCAACGGACCAAACCCTGGTAGGAGGCTTACCAGCCAGTTAATTAATATACCGTAGTCATTAAGTGGCCTCTCTACTGCTCTTCTGTTGCCAGAGCTGCTGTGGGATCCTGGAATCAGCAGGGGCCCTCTGGAGGCCTGGGTGCTCATATTATGTAATACGAATGTATTCTAAAGGATTTTTATTCTTTACTTCTGTCTGTTCATACTATTAATATACACTCCACTAGTTTCTTCTTAAAAGACTGAAAAGACCAGGTGTGGTGGCACATGCTCGTCATTTCAGAACTTGAGTGTAAGTCTAGCTCGGGCTACATAAAATCAGTGTGTGTGTGTGTGTGTGTGTGTGTGTGCATGTGCGCGCAAGCACCCTGAAAAAAGAATCCAAAGAAAGTTTGAGTTTGATGTCTGAAAGCAGAAACAGAGCTACAAGCCTAGAGTAGCTCAGAGGCAAATCAAGTATACAGTACTCTGCCTAGGCCGGTAGTGATCTGGCTGGCTGGGAAAGGAAGGCCGTGTGGGCCTCGCAGGCTTTTCACTAGCATAAACGAGTGAGCGGCATGCCTGAGTGCTGGCCTTTGGGCTGGCGTATGTTTGTGTTTACAGCTGGAATCCCACTCCCACCGCCCAGCCGAGAGTGACTCATGGCGATGACTGACATCATCTTCCTGCTAGACACAGGACCACAACAGCAGCCTGGGGCTCGGCCCCACTCACAGCTATCTCCACTCCCACGCTGCCAGGCGGAGATAAGGGAGCCTGAGAAAGCGCCCTCAGCCTGGGGAAAGGAGACGAAGGTTGGAGATGATGGCTCAGTCTAAGGCCATAGCTTTCCCAAAGAACTTCCGTGGTGGGCCACGCTTAGAGCAGAAGAGACCGGGCTCAGGGAGGTCGAGAGTGGCCCAAAGGCACATGGTTCAGTGAGAATTTGCCTTCCGGCTGGCTCTCGGATGCCTGGTGTCCTAATTCCAGGCACGGAAGGCCATCTTTCTCAGGTGTGAAGGGGCTAGTTCTGAGGCTCTTCACGCCTGGTGGGAGCTAGGGTCAATGCTTCAAGTAAGTGGGGGTCACTTGAACTTCTCCACGGCCCCGGGGAAAGACCCAGCAGCTCCCTTTGTAGCCCAGAGGCCACCACCAACCTCAGTGAGCTCCTGTGCATCTCTGTTGGGATGCAAGCCTATCCTTGCCAGCAGCCCGTCTCTGTTCTTTCTCCACCCTCCTCTTGCTGAATGGTGAGGAGGTGAGGCAGACTAGTCTCAAGGCCCTCTTCCGCTGTGAGGGAGCCCGCATCTGAAGTCTCTCCTATGGCGTTCAGGCTGTGCTTGGTTCTAGAAGCCTGACTGGGAAGGCAGGGCCGACGCAAAGTGACAAGGGTTGTCCCTGTTCTCCTGAACTGAGCATGTGGTCTCCCGGTGCAGAGGGAGAGAGGAGGATGATGGGAGTCCAGCATGAGCCGCAAGAGGCTTCTTGGAAGTGTGTGCATCTTTAGTTATCCCCAAATGGCTGGGCCCTGCTGGGAATGCTCATCAAGGAAGGGCTTAGTGGTGGTCGGGGGTCCCCCCCCTCCAGCTCCAGGGAGATAGCTCCTAAGCCCCAACACCCTGCCTGCTGGGATTCGACACGTCTCTTCCTTCCTTCCTTCTTTCTTTCTTTCTTTCTTTCTTTCTTTCTTTCTTTCTTTCTTTCTTTCTTTCTTTCTTTCTTTCTTTCCTTTCTTTCTTTCTTTCTTTCCTCTTTCTTTCTTCCCTCTTTCTTTCTTTTTTCCTTTTTTCTTTTTGCTTTGAGACAGGGCCTCATAGAACCCAGGCTGGCCTTGAACTTCTAATCCTCCTGCCTTCTCTGCAGTGCTGGGATTACAGGTGTATACCACCAGGCCTGGTTTGAGCTGAGGCCTTCCAACCCACATGACGTACCCGGCCGGACCCGTGGCTGGGCAGGGACCCTCCTTTAGTCTTTGGACCCTCTGTGCCCCACACAGGGTTTCTACCCAGCCGACACCTGCCAGTGTAGACAGAAGAGCGGCTGCCCCACCCTCACGCCGTCACCTGTGCCCCCCACGCTGGACCTGCCAAGAAGCAGGAGGCCGTGGGCTGGGAGGGTGGGACTGGAGCAGGCCTGGGCACTCTCTACACAACCCATTGCCCAATGCACCTTCCCCTCGCCACCTGCACAGCCCTGGGCCCTGGGGCCTTGGCTTACCACAGGGCTCTGGGACAAACCCCACAAAACAGAGCCCCATTGAGAGCAGGCCGTCAGGGCTGGGTAGGAGGGGACACTGGTGGTGAGGGTGCTGTGGGAGCCCTGTCATCCTGTTCCAAGTGAGGAGCGCTCACGGGTGGGGTGGGGTGGGGGTGGGGAGGGGTGGGGGTGGGGAGGGGTGGGGGATGGCTGGGCGAGGCCCTCCCACATCCTGGGGGAGAGGGGTTCTTCCCAGGGCCACTGGGCCCCTCCCTCTCACCTGTGGTAATCACAGCAGGAGTGTGGAACCCAGGGCCAGCCCAGTTGGGAAAGGATAAAAAGGCCGTGGCTGGGGCAGCGGCTCACTGAGCTTGCTCCCTCCTGCTCTCTGTGGCTCCCTCTCTTGCGACAGTCATGCGGTCCTCCTTGTCCAGGAAGACCTTCTCCACCAAAGGAGGCTTCAGCTCCAACTCAGCCAGCGGAGGGGGCGGGAGTCGGATGCGAACCAGCTACAGCTCCGTGACCATGTCCAGGGGCAGCGGCAGTGGTGGGGTCCGCTCTGGCCCCAGTTCCGGGGGCTTTGGCAGCTGGAGCCTCTATAACTTGGGAGGCAAGAGCGTCTCTGTCAGCGTGGCTGGTGGGGCGTCCTCCGGCCGGGCACTAGGAGGCTTTGGCAGTGGAGCCTACGTGGGCCTAGGGGCTGGCAGGCAGACATTTGGGCCTGTCTGCCCCCCGGGGGGCATCCAGGAAGTCACTGTCAACCAGAGCCTGCTGACACCTCTCAACGTGGAGATAGACCCCGAGATCCACAGGGTGCGCACCCAGGAGCGCGAACAGATCAAGACCCTCAACAACAAGTTCGCCTCCTTCATCGACAAGGTGGGCGGGGCTAAGCCGAGGCACGCGGGGTGGGGCGCGGGGAGTGGATGGGGGCGGGAAGGTGGTGAGGGGTGGGAAGGGATGGGGGTGTGTGGTCTGGGCAAACGCAGTTTCTGCCATGTGCACTGGCCAAGTGGGGTGGGGTGACCGTGGTCTCTGCCTGCCCCGTGGCTGGGGTTTCTTTTGTGCGTCCTTGGGCGTGAGCAGCCCAGCCCATCTGACTGTGTTGGGGCCCCTGGGGTGTCGCTCACACCGTTAAGCGGCAGCCTTACTTCATTTTTCAAACGTGTGTGGTACTGAGTGTTCCTGTTAGGGAGGTGGCCTTTAATGACTTGGCATTTTATAGCTGTGGGCAACCATTCATGGCTTAGGAATCCTCCAGCTTTTCCGGGGCTGGAGCCTTGGAACCTGTGTGTCCTCTCAAGCTGGGAAGCCTCAGGGTCAGAAGCAGTCAGAACATGGCGGACACCCTCATTGCCTCTCCTCTGGCTCCCTGTCCCAGCCAAGAAGTTCAGTCTGGGATGGGCAGTGAGGAGGCCGGCGACCACTGAATTTGGATATTACATTCTGGGGGTGTCCGGGTCCTTGTCTCCCCGGGTGAGTGGGATGGCTGCGGTGCCACCGCCTAGCATTTCTTGCTGCGTCTGTCAGCGGGTCAGGCTGAGGGGTAACTCCTTGGGTCCCTGATTGGGTGTCTTAACACAGGGGCCCACCCCTTTTCTCACAGGCCACGCTGGGGGTTCCAAGGGGAGTCAGGGCTGGACACTGTGCCCACTCTTAGACAGGAAAACGAGGCTTAGCGCGGCCTGTGGCCTTCCCAGGGTCACATGGTACGGGAAGGCAGAGGTATAACTGGGAAGTAGGGCTCCAACGTGCACCTGCCACGGACTGGGCCTGCGGGGCAGCGGAGGTGGGGCCTGGAGGACCCGGTGACACAGGGCCAGGCAGACTGGGCCCTGAGCTTCTCACCTCTCCCCCGGTGACTTTTAGTTCTTACTGAGCTGCCGTGTGGGCGCTGGAAATTGAACCTGGATCCTCTGGAAGAGCAGCCAGTGCTCTCAACTACTATTCGTCCATCTCCCCAGCCCTGTCTCTCTGACACCATTGATTTACTTACTTACTTTATTTTATTTACATACACGTGTATATCTGTGTGAGGGCTAGATCCTCTGGAGCTGGAGTTACAGACAGATGTGAGCTGCCATGTGGGTGCTGGGGATTGAACCACATATATGTTTTTAGAAGCAGGGTGTCTGTGTGTAGCCCTGGCTGTCTTGGAACTTGCTCTGCTTTGTAGGCCAGGCTGGCCTTGAACTCAGATCTACCTGCCTCTGCCTCCTGAGTGCTGGGCCTAAAGGCATGTGCCACCGCCGACAGACCTCTCTGCTAGCTGTAACAGCTGGCTTTGATGCAGGATGGCTCTCATAAGCACCGGCCTCTCGCAGCTTTACTCAGGACGCGTGGGAAAGCGAGGCAGGGAACACAGTGAGCAGGTCAGGTGACCAGCGCACACAGCACGAGTGCTGGGACCGCCCTCTGAGCAGACTCCCTCCCAGTGAGAGGTGAGAGACGCTACATCCCCTGAGCGATGCTGGACGCCGCTCCCCAGGTGATGTCCACCTATCCTTCCCCCTCCAGGTGCGCTTCCTGGAGCAGCAGAACAAGGTGCTGGAGACCAAGTGGGCGCTGCTGCAGGAGCAGAGCCAGAATACAGGGGTCAGCAGGAGCTTGGAGCCTTTCTTTGAGAATTACCTGAGCACCCTGAGGAGACAGCTGGAAGCCAAGCAGAGCGAGCAGGGGCGGCTGGATATGGAGCTGAGGAGCGTGCAGGATACTCTGGAGGACTTCAAGAACAAGTGAGGGACAGGCTACCATAAGGGACAGAAATGACACTGTGGAAAAGACCGCCCAGGCAGAGCTACCCGCTACTCGTCTTGTCACTGTATCCACACATATTTTCACTAGGTCTAAGTGAGGTACATCCCCCCTGTGGACCTCTAGAACTGACTCGGGAACTAGAGGCCTGGGGCAGCCAGGAGCAGGCTCGTCATTATTGTTGCGGCTCCTTTGATAAGTTGTAGGTTTGATAAGTTGTGAGCATGCTCGAGGTCATACAAACGACAACGCTATGTCTCTTCAGATAAATGTCTGAGGTACGGGGACATGTATCTCAACTATTCTCAGGCGTTCTAAATTTCTTTCTTGAGAAATAGCAACGTCGGTTGTTCTTACGTCTGTGCCACAAATTCCTTCTAGCCTCACATGATCTTAATTCAAATGCCAGCAAGTATATCTATACAGTTTATTTGCCTAGCTTGGCCCGACACGACTTACACAAAATGCCAAAATGACACATAAAATGTTCACGGTAGTAATTCCTCATGGACTACATAGTTTGGAATTTTCAACTGCTCCATAGATGTCATAAATTTAGAGAAATGAGCATTTGAATGGAGATTCAAGTGACCTTCCCACGACATGGTTGATGGTACATACTGACATATTGACGATACATGACGAATTTGAGGCCAGCCTGGTTTTTGTAGATGTTCTAGGCTGGCTAGGGTGACATAGTGAGACACTTTAAAAACAACAAACATTAAAGTGTAATTTTGAAATAACTTTTTATAACTTGACACCGGCAATTTCTAAACCCGAGTCTTAGCAGGAGAGGTTGGGGAAAACTGATTGCTTCAGGTGACAGCATGCTGTTGAAAGCAGAGGCAGAGGTTAATCACTGTTGGCACGGCTGTTCAGGCTCTGATCCAAAGCGATGGCCTCCTGCCGTGTCATGATAGTGTGTGAGTTTTGTGCTTCTTTCTTCCGAAAGGGGAAGAAAGTGTTTAAACAATGGCACCCCCCCACCCCGGGCTTCTTCACCGGTTGATTGCATTAAAGTACTGCTTCCCAAAGATGTTTCTGAGTGGTGGTGGAAACCCATCAAGGCTTCCTAGGACCAGGAGAGCTAAAAGGCAGAACTGGCGAGAGCTGGCCCGAGCTGGCCTGAGCCTTCCTTGTCTTACAGGTACGAGGATGAAATCAACAAGCGCACATCCTTGGAGAATGAATTTGTGGTGCTCAAGAAGGTGCGAGGTGGCTAAGCTTCGGGGGGGGGGGTCTCCGGCTGCCAGGGGCCTGGATGGATCTGGAGAGAGCTCTTGGGGTGTGAGCGCTCGGCTTGCTCTGTCTCCTCAGGATGTAGACGCCGCGTACATGGGCAGAATGGATCTGCACGGCAGAGTGGACACACTGAGCCAGGAGATCGAGTTCCTCCAGCACCTCTATGAGATGGTGAGGAGACACGATTAGCTTAACGTTTGTGTTTCACTGGAGAGTCTCCCACGGAGGTGCGAACTCGCCAGCTTACTTAACTGGATGGGCAGGTCGTGGCAGCACAAGCCGTTGATCCTAACTTTTGGAGGCAGGGGCAGGTGGTGCGCTTTGAGGCCAGCCTGGTCTGTGTGCATGTTCTAGGCCAGCCGGGGAGACATAGCAGACACTCTCAGAAATAGTTACTATTGTCTGAGGGCTTCATGTAGCCACGTCTAGTCTCAAGTTTGCTATGTATCTGAGGATGAACTTTTGATCTTCCTGAGATGACTGAGATTACAGGTGATCACAGGTGTGAACCACCGCTCCCGTTTCATGTGGTGCCTGGATAGAGCCCAGGGCCTTGGCTTGCTAGGTAAGCACTCCACGAACTGAGTGACATGCACAGTTCGTCCTGGTTGCGTCTTGGACAACACTTCCGTGTGAGTCATTGACGAAGGCGAAAGGCAACCAAGGTCAAGAACAGAGCCCTGGGGACTGCTCTGGAGACTTTCCAGCATGCCATCATTTCACTGATCAGGTTCCTGTAAAGTGTCCCAGCTACTTTAGATTCGTTCAATCAAGGTGCTTATGCCTGTGGTCCAACACTTGGGAAGCTGAGGCAGGAGGACCGAGAGATCAAGGCCAACTCCCTTCACTCCGATGGGGTTACACAGATGCCTAGCGTTTCCATGGTTGCGTAGGATGCTAACTCATGCTTGCATAACAAACAGACCTCCCTCTCACTCTTGGGATTGCTGGAAAGGTGTGGTCAGCTGGTGTCCACTGTGCGGGCTTTCTCCAAGTCTGTCTTGGGTTCCTATCTCCTCTCTTTCCGGTTTGAAGACTGTTTGAAGACTCTCCAAGGCAGAGGGTGCGGTAGTTGAGTTGTCGGCTTCTAGGTCTTCTGCAGGTATCAGCCTAGTATTGCTTCCTTCGTTCCCTGCTCTGCTGGGCTTCTGCTCCCTTCCGTCTGGTTAGCCTGGTGGAACTCACCCCGAAGGACTCTGGGTGTTCCGTGTTTCTCTTTGCTGGGAGTCACTGGTGGTCCCTGGTGGTCTCTCAGGAGTTCGGGCTTCCGTATCTGCCCTTAGGCTCCACTGTCCGGTCTCAGTGCTTCAGGTCAGGCTTTGCTCCATCCAAAGCATAGGGCTGGCTCTCCCAGCATCCCTTTCTTCTGCTTTACCTCGTTCACTTAACAAGCATTTACAGGGCTCCTCCCACATAACAATTAAGACAGTGTTCCTGCCCTTGGGGCTGGTTCTTAAGTAAGGAAAGCCCTGTTGGGACCGGTGCCTAGGCACACAGGGAGGCCGTGGCGGGGGCCCTTCCGGAGGGCAGGAGCGGAGGGCGTCTGAGGAGACAGCATTTGCAATGGATCTTAAGGGAGAGCTGGACTTCGGAAGTGGGCACAGTGAGGGCCCAGTGGGGCAGGGTCTTGGCATCAAACTGCACAGCGTCTGGGGTGGCGGGAAGCTGGCAAGTTGGGCATTGAGAAGGTGAGAGAATTAGGTGAAGGTGAAGAAAGGGAAGGAAGCTATGGACCATGCTGGGGGATTACTTCCTGTCAAAGGCTTCCTCATCCATCAGAGTCCCCTTTAGGGCAAGAGGAGGGCCAGACCAGTGGTTCTCTGACCAGTCATGGTGGCCAACGCGGCACTCGGGATTCACTTCCACACTCTGGTTTTGGCCATCACCTCTGGATGATGACCTTAAATCCTTGTTCCCCAACTTCCACCACTCCCCTTTCTCATGCTTTCAGTGATCCACTTCTCCCCACCCTCGCGCTTAGGACGTAGCCAGCATCCCATGGTCCCAGGTATGGCTCCATCGCTGGCTCTACCTCTTCCTTGGCTCTTTTTGGTCTGAGTCGTTTCAGGTTCTGAGGTCAGGCTCTCAAAGGTTTAGAAAGGGCTCTCCTTACTGCTTTCTGATTTGGGACAGGTGGCTTAATCTCTTTGTGGAAATGGAAAAAAAAAGTTTTCCTGAATCCTGACTCATCATGCTTGCTGAGTGGCCACACTGGTGCCTGAACCACAGTAGCTACTCAGGAAATGAAGGGTGTTGCTGTCGCTCTATCCACCATAGCCCCCCACCCTGGGCTATGTGGGTGAGAGAATTGCTAGGCATAGAGAGAGCATGGAAGGAATTTTTGTATTTCTTTTTCAAGACAGAGACTCATACTGAACTCCAGACTGCTCTGAAACTTACTAGGTAGCCCAGGCTGGTCTCACATTTCAGCACTCAGACTACACTGAGTACAAGCAGGAGCGTGGCAGGTGTTGTGTTTGGAGAGTCTCTGAGGAGGTGACTTGGCAGCTGGGGCTGAGGGCAGTCTGGTAGCAGCTCGGGGAGCCAGGGGATGACAAAGGCTGAGCCCTCCGGGAGCCAGGGTCCTTGTGACCCAGCGAGCGGTCACAGACCCTTAATGTCCTATTTCCTTCACATCAGCTTCTGGTCACCAACGCATCTTTTAAGAAGGTGGTGACCCTAGAAACAGGAGGAGGGCTTGGGGACATTGCAGCCTGGTGCAGTGATTGTCGGAGGCCGCCGCGCCGGGCTCTGTCACTGTCTGGTTCCAGCATTTCCCCCTTTCCTCTTATACCTGGCACTCTGGTATGGAGTCTCTGTCCTTCCAAGCCTCTCTCCTCCCTTGTGTCGTCAGAGTCGCTATGGATGGTAAAGCAAATGGGCTGCTCTGAGCATGCCACCTGCCCTGTGGGCACAGAGGTCGCCTCCAGGTCGGGAGGGGGAGGGAAGGGGTGACTGCCTGTCTTCCGGGGGAATGTGAGGATCACAGAACCCAGTGACTGCTAGCATAGAGCCAGGGCAGCACAGGGCAGGAAGGCCCCCCCTCCTCGTCTACATGAGGGTCCTATTCCCCATCCCTTGCTTCCGCCCAAGGCGTAGGGCAGGGCTCTGGTGGCAGCTGCCCCTGTTTCCCCAGGAGCTGAGCCAAGTGCAGGTAAACGTGTCTGACACCAACGTGGTCCTGTCCATGGACAACAACCGCAGCCTGGACCTGGACAGCATCATCGCTGAGGTCAAGGCGCAGTACGAGCTGATCGCCCAGAGAAGCCGGGCTGAGGCTGAGTCCTGGTACCAGACCAAGGTGAGCAATGACAGGCTGGGGTGTGTGGGCGGGCAGGGTGGACCTCCCTCTCTGGAGAGGCCTGGCCCGCTGTGCCCTCAGGGCCCTGGGACAGGGGCTTCCAGCAGAGGGTGGGCTCTGAGGCCAACAGCCGTCCAGCACGTCAGGGCTCTTGATATTCACTGACACATTTTCAAACTCCAGTACGAAGAGCTGCAGGTCACAGCCGGGAAGCACGGGGACAGCCTTCGAGACACCAAAAATGAGATTGCGGAACTCACTCGCACCATCCAGAGGCTGCAGGGGGAGGTGGACGCAGCCAAGAAGCAGGTGGGCCTGGGGTCAGCCTGAAGATCAACTACCCACTTCAGGGATGTCAGCGTGGGGGTGGGGCAGAGGGTTCTAGGACGGGAGTCTAAGCAGGTACGGCCACACCACGAGGCTCCTACAGACAGAACAAGGCAGGAGCCTGGCCGGAAAGTCGTATTCACCTTACTACTCCCAACCCCTCGGGTGGATCTGCAGGGATTGAGATTATATTTCCGTGTTTCCTTGGTGCTTCTATTAAATTCCCTTTCAGTTACAGCGTCTCCTTCTGTTTTCCCCAAATTGGTTGGGTTGGGTGTGGGGCTCCCAGCGTGAGAGCAAAGGGGTGAAGGGGCCAAGCCTGGAAGGTTTTCCCAGCCCCTTTCTCCTGTGGGTAGTGCCAGCAGCTGCAGACAGCCATTGCGGAAGCTGAGCAGCGTGGGGAGATGGCGCTCAAGGACGCGAAGAAGAAGCTTGGAGACCTTGACACAGCCCTGCACCAGGCCAAGGAGGACCTGGCCCGGCTGCTGCGCGACTACCAGGCGCTCATGAACGTCAAGCTGGCCCTGGACGTGGAGATCGCCACCTACCGCAAGCTGCTGGAGAGCGAGGAGAGCCGGTGGGCGCCCCTCTGTGCACCTGGGAGGCCGGAGGCCTGTGGGTGGGACAGAGGGCGGTGGTCACCTAGGGGTGGGACAGAGGGTGGTGGTCGCCTAGGGGTCTCCTCCTCGCTCCTGCCCTTCACCTCCGGGATGTATTGACCATCCAGAACTCTTGGGGTGTCCCGGCTCAGCTGCAAGGCTTGCTTGGCGGGGTCAGGCAGAGGCTCTGTCCTTAGGCACAGAGTGAGGTCAGTTGTCCCTACAGGAGGCAGGGGGAGAGGGGAGGCTTCAACGAGTGGAGTCCCGCAGGACGGCCTGGCTTTTAGGCTTTGCTGGGAGGCCTTGCTTGAGTCCCGGGTTGTCCCAAACTCTTACTACCCATGTCTCTGGGTCTGGTCCTCAGGCCCTGGCACCTAGCGGGGGTGTGGGGGTGAAGGCAGAGGGAGGCAATGCTTTCACATGGGTTTCCAGACTGCTGACCTCTCCGGGCCTTTGTTTCCCCTAGGATGTCTGGAGAGTGTCCCAGCGCAGTGAGCATCTGTAAGTATCTGTTCCGCCCCGCCCCGCTCCTCCCTCACCTCCGGTCCTCTAGCCCTTCGATGTTCCCGGGCTCCCCCGTGGCCCCTTCCTGGCTGGACGCTCTACTAAGCCGGAGCCTTTGCTTTGCAGCGGTGACCGGCAACTCTACCTCGGTGTGCGCAGGCGGCGCGGCTGGCTTCTCGAGCGGCCTCTCTCTGGGAGGGGCTGGCGGGGCCAGCAAGGGAGGGTTCAGTGCCAGCGTGAGCTACGGCGCTGCCAAGGGCGGGCAGGTCGCCGGGGGAACCTCCATCCTGCGGAAGATCACCACGGTCAAGAGCTCTAGCCGGAGATACTAGCAGCCGGTCCCCCGCCGACCACGCCTTCTCAGGAGCACAGAGGCGGAGAATCGTGGTGCACACTTTACATATGTTTTACATTTGGGGAAAGGGTCAGATTTCCGCAGCTTTTCTCTGTGGTTCTGCAGTGGAATGGGAGGGAGGTTAGGGCCGCCAGTTGGTTGACTTGGGGGTGAGCTGACCGTTTAGAGGAGGTAGGCTGTCCCTTTCTGCTCTCACCTCAGCAGATCCGAGCTGAGTTCAGGGCAAGGGGGAGGAGGAGACCCCGGGCTGCAGTGAGGCCGCCAGACCTCCAACCTCCTCAGCCAGGTCTCCTCATGGCCTAGCCCCCGCCTGTGCCTGTGATGTCTCTCAATAAACAGCAACTACAGCAAACTGCTCGTGGCTCCAGTCTGTCTCCCTGGGGACCGTGGATGTGCAGTTCTGGCGGCACTCAGGTGCTGTCCTCAGACTCCTACACTCTTGCCTTCCGGACCGGACTGGACCGGTGGACTTCCTTAGAACTCCACTTGCCATTATTAGCTATGTGAACCTAGGCCTGAGTCCTGGGCTCCAAGCCTAGCTTTTTCCCCACCATTCCCCTCCCCTCTCCCCCTCCTGCTCTCTCCCTTCCCCTCCCTTCATCTCCCTCCTCTTCCCTCTCCCTCTCCTGTCCTCTCTCTTCCTCTCCCCTTTCCTCCTGCCCTCCCCTCTCCTCCCCTCTTTCCTGTCCCCTTTCCTTCCTTCCCTTCCCCCGCCCCTCTCCTTCTCTTCTCTCTTCTCCTTCTCCTTTTCCTTCCCCTCCTCTGGACCTCAGGTGATTTCTCCACTATCCCCCACATCTAGCCACCAAATACCAAAACACATTTAATTGGGTTGTGTGTTTGTAGATATGATTAATTGGTTTCAGGCTTCAACAGGGACATGGGGCTCTCCATATTCCAACTGAGGCAATGGAAGCTCCCAGGGGTTGGCTCACATCTTCCCTGTAGTGCCAGATGGGCCGCTAGGACTTTGATCTCAGCCTGTCCCTTCTGGCTGAAGCTCTGTCCTCCTTTCTTCCTGTCTCTCCTTGCCTGTCACTTTCTTTCCTCCTCGGCTCCCTGCATCTCCTCGGCAGCCTGGACCCCAGTCCTCATTGGCATGCTATTTCTCCCAGTCCGGTCCATCTTGCCCTCAGCCTGAGCTCAGTCAGAGCCTCCCCCCTGCCTGACTGCGCTCCCCAGAGGACTCAGGAAGGGGGATGCCAAGGCTGGGGACACAGGCAGAGATTCTGGGGACTCAGTGCTCTGACTTAGTACACAGCCTCCCCTACACCCACTCAAGGCGCCACTCTGCCTCGTCTCCAGCAGCTCCACACACACTTGCAGCCTTTTGGGGATGGGATCGTGGGCACTGGGATCTGAGAGGCTAGCCCAGCCCTTAAGCAGCCGAGATTTACGCACTGTTAACAAGCCCGTTTCCAGATGAGGACTGCAAAGCACAGGGTGGTTAAACAACCTTTTGGGGCCACACAGCTGCATGTAGAATGCTTCCCGGGGTCCAAGCCTGTCACTAGCTTGTCACCCATAGACAAAAAGAAGTCCCTAGGCAGTCAGTCTAAACCCTTATGTAGGAGAGAAAGCTGCTGCTGGTACTAGGGGGGACCAGGAGGGGACACATATGCCTGGAAGCCACAGCGAGTTAACAGCAGAGTCAAAAATAGCTTCTTCCAAGGTAAACACGGGGCTAGAGGCCGAGAGATTCACTTTTACCCAGTTTGTCACCAAGCTCCGAAGTGACTTTGTGGACTCGGAGTCTTCCCACATGGCACCCAGGGCTTCAGGGGGTGGGGACGGGAGGCCAGTGCCAGGGCAGGGCTGGAATGCTTTCTTTCTCTGTTGCCTGAGAGCTTCAGCAAGAGTGCGCTGGCAGTGGAAAGCATGGAAAGCCCCTGCTGGCACATGCCAGGGGCAGGAGACTGAGTGAGCTGATCCGTGGCCCTTCCTGGCTGCTTCCTCCCAGCTCCCTGGGCCTCCTGAAGCATCTTGGAGCCCTCTGTTGGCTCTGGCTCCCTCAGAGTGATTCAGGCCATGGGGCAATCAAGGTTAGGTGACCCAGTGGGGCCATGGCACCCACCCGGCCAGGGAGGGCAGCAGGCTTTCCCACACTGATCCCCAGGTTAGGGCTGACACTGACAGAGGCCTCAGGATCCCTAAATCCCTGGCTGAATGGAAAGGCTTCGCCTCTTGCACTCAGAGAGCTCCGAGCAAACACACCCTCCCACTCCTGCTCCATGCCTGACAGCACTCGGCTTACTCCTCAGAGCCAGGCTTGGGCGGGCAGCCAGGGGAAGCAGGGTCACCAAGGGCAGCAGCAAAAGCCAGAGCTGTGTGTGCAGCAGGAGTGTGGGACCAGCTTTCAGTTGTCACCTCCTGGTGGAGGGTTGTTTTTGCCTGTGCCCCGTGTAGAAAGGAAACAGCTCTTTCTTGCCTCTCAAACCACAAGGAACTACACCCAATCTCACTTGGAAAGTTCTTCCTTGCATCTACCTGCAGTTTCTTATCTACAGGTTGAGGATTCTGTGAAGTGTTGGCAATTCTGATTAATAAAACTCACGGGATCTGGGTCTAGGCCAGGGCATTCCTCTTGTTTGATTTTGGTTTATCATAATATTTCCGATTACATTAATTTGGATTTAGTTAATGTGAAGGCACCACACTGGCCACTGAGGACCATGTTGTAAGTTACTGAGAGCCTGTTAGGACGAGGTCACACAAACCAAGTCACCGATGACATAAGTAGGGACAGAAGGGGGCTGAGCTGGAGCTGAGCTCGCCCTGGACCCTGCTGCTGCTCTGGTGGGCCAGCACCTGTGGGGGCGGATACCCAATGGTCAGAGCTTTGAGGTCAAGCTGATAGCACTGGCTTCCTCTACCCATTAATTTGTAGCTCTTGGATCTCGGGCGAGTAGCACAACTTCTCTGAGCCTCAAAATCACTTTCCTAAAACGGCTGAGGAGAATAAAATTGTCCAAGAAAAGCTCGTGCTGTCCTACATGGACAAACATTCTAAGAGAGCTGTTTCTACCCAGAATGCACTGGCCTTCCCTCTCCCATTCTTTGTCTGAAGGGATGGGCATATGCTTCCAGTGACCATGAGGGAGACTTCAGTCAGGGCTTGGTGGCTTGGATGACCTCAGGCATAAAATGAGGGCGATTGTGTGTTATGTGCCATTTAGCCCCAAATTCCTTCAGTCCTGGCTTCTTCGTTTAGGACTTGAATGACCTGTGCCATTTTCTCCCTGTGGTAGATAGAGATAAGAGGTGGGGATGTGTGCAGAGCAAAGGGCAGAGAGAGGATGGCTCTCAGGACACCCCCATCAGGTGCCCTTGAGACCTAGAGTTGCCACTTTCCAAGCTGTGCGTTCCCCCCAGACTGGCGTGTGCATGCAGAGGCCAGATTGCCAGTGCCCCACAGCCCCTTTGTCCCTTGAATCACAGAGACGGTGGCAGCAGACACTGGGGGCAGAGGGACAACACCTCCCTGCTCGCGTGTTCCCCTAGCCCCAGCCTCGCGGCAGCTCTATGGTAGCCAACTGGACGGTGGCAGGGCAGAACTGAAGGACTGCAGCTGAGCTCCTGGCCCATCTGTATTCCCTGTAGCTCCACTCCGAGGGCATGACCCCCACCCTGAGTTCTCTGTGCGCCAGGGAAGCCTCTGGGGGACACGGTTCATTGGTCTGGGGTGGTTCAGGCCAGCAGGGTTATCTAGATGCTCGTGGCTGCTCTCTCTCCCATCTGGTCACTTCCCCAGTGATGGATGGGGGAGGGAACACAGCACAACGGATTTCCAAGTGCCCGGGCAGGATAAGGGTGGATGCTTGTCAGCCTCCTGTGTGCCAGGCAGCTTGGGTACACGGCCTTATCAACTATGGGTAGACACATGCTTTATGTATGTGGTGAGTTGGCTGACCTCAGAGGGGTAGATAATCCCCCCCCCAGGTTGCTTAGCTGGTTACTGAGACGGGTAGACCCCCCCCAGGTTGCCTAGCTGGTTACTGAGACGGGTAGACCCCCCCAGGCTGCCTAGCTGGT